TTTTCATTACCTACCACTCCGCTGATGGAGCTAAAGGGTTGCAGCTTTCACTATGGATTACAACTCAGTGTAATGAAGGCCCAAATCTGCATGATAATTAGAGAAAAGGTTGAAGTAATCAAGGATTTCATTTGGCTTACATCCACATGTAATGCTTATGGAAGCAGCATTCAAGAGATAAAGATGAGTTGCATTAGGGAAATCTGCTGCACAAGACGTCTTTCAGAGGACTGAAAAGCAAGGATGTTCCTTTGAGGACCAAGGTATATCTGATCCAAGCCACAGTATTTTCCTCATATGCATGGGAAAGTTCGACATCGAATAAAGAACACTGAAGAAGAATCAAAGCATTTGAATTGTGGTTTTAGGGAAGAATATTGAAAGTACCACACTTTTCTTGGAAGAATTACAGCCAGAGTGCTCCTTAGAGGCAAAGATGGTGAGACTTCACCTTTCATACTTTGGACATGTTGTCAGGAGAGACCAGTCCCTGGAGAAGGATGTCATGCTTGATAAAGTGGAGGGGCAGCTACGGAGAGAAAGGCTCCCAAGGAGATGGATTGACACCATGGCTGCATCAGTGGGCTCATGCATAGAAGCAATGGCAAGGATGGCACAGAACTGGGCAGTGTTTGGTTCTGTTTTGCACAGGGTCACTGGGTCGGAACGGACTAGATGGCACCTAACAACAACAACAACCATCCTGATATGTTCCAGTTTCCCAGTGCAGCTTTATTTGTTGAGTTCTTGTGTGCTCAAAACACACTGCTTTTTATTTAGGAAATTATGGCTACCGGCCACTTGATCCTATGGGAGCTCTTGTGGTTATGTATTGGGCTGCAGTTCAAAACTACCAGTATCTCCGAGGGAGAAAGTTGAGGGTTTCCACTCTTGGAAACTCACAGGGGCAGTTCTACCTTGTCCTGCTGGGTCGCTATGAGTCAGCATTGCCTCCATGGCAGTGAATGAGTACCTCCTGACCCTGCACATAGGTCTCTGCGCTCTTCACTTTGCTGTGAGCTTCCCGAAGGTAGGACTGGGTCCAGAGCACAGGGCTGCCTCCTGTGATTCACACATCATTCTGAAGACATGGTGACACTTTGCACTGTCCACTCCAGAGCTCTCCCTAGGTTGGGGATTAGACCATTGTAATGCATAGGGTTTCCTTGGCTGATTTTCAAAAGTGGAACATGAGACCTTTCTTCCTAGTATGCCTTCGTCTGGAAACACCCCGGACACTTGCTTAGCATCATGCAACATAAAAGCCTTCACTGTGAGATGGGGCTGGTGACTACATAATGAGGCACATTGGTTGGGAATCAAATTTGTGTCTCCCACCAAACTCCCTGCTGTCAAGTTAATTAGGAGAGAGTAGAACTTCCCCGGGTGCCCGGGTGGTTATGTGGTTGTGCCTTGTGCTGCTAATCATAGGTCAACCATTTGAAGCCACCAGCCTCTTTGAAGGAAAAGTACAAGGCTTCATACTCCCGTAAAGGTTTGTTGTGATTGTTAGGTGCTGCCGAGTCCGTTCGAATTGTTAGAGAGCCCAGCCGTATACAACGGAGCAAAGCACTGCCATGTCCTGTGCTGTCTTCTCAATTGCTTGAGTTCATTGTTTGCAGCCAGGGTGTCAATCCATCTATCAAAGGTCTTCCTCACTTTCTTTGCTCTGCTACTTTTGCAAGCATGATAGGGCTGGTCTTTCATGACACCATGTCCAAAGTCTGGGTCCAGGAAGAGTTACAGTTTCCAAACCGCACAGGGGACGTTCCACCCTCTCCTACAGGGTCATTATGACCTGGAATCAAATCAATGGTAGTGAGTGAACTTTTGAGAACTTCCTCCTAATGTTTGCGAAGCTGTAAATATTTATAGAAACAGACTACCGCATCAGACTGCCTCAACTCTCTCCTTCAGAGTGGTTAGTGGATCAACCCGGGGGAAATTTGATTTGCTTCTATTAGCAGCACAACTCTTAATCGACTGTACCACCAGAGCACCTGGTCTCCCGTGTCACGGAACCACCCATAATCTAACTTATTTACGGTATCTGCAGGTTTTGTAATGTGAGGTCCAAAACGTCTTAGAGGACTATGGAAACCCTCAGGTTTGAGAAATGCCCGTCTTTTCCACATGGCAAGGGTTTCATAAAACATTGCAAGTCTGTCAATATCACCAACGATGCCATCATCCGGACTCCCAGACTTAGAGGAAACACAGACTTGTGCCTAGCTTCTATGAATTCAGGGGAGTGGAGGTAAGTGCAAGGACCCTTGAGGTAGCCTGCCTGGGCTCAGCCCCTGCTCTGGCACTTAGTAGCAATGGGACCTGGGGCAAGTAACTGCACCTTTATGTATGACGACGAAGGAGAAACGGCAGTAATAATAGGGCCCACCTCACAGGGTTGTTGCAAATTCTTATTATTACTGGTGAATTATTATTTATAAGGCATGTGGAGCAGTGTTTAGCACATGGTAAATGTAAAGTGTGACTATTATTAGCTCTTCTGTCTTAATGGCACCACTCTCAGTTGTTGCACTGTGGTGCCGTACATGTTGCTGTGAGGCTGGAGCTATGCTATTGGTATTTCTATATCAGCAGGGTCTACCATGGTAGACAGACTGCAGTGTACTTTCCAGAGTTAGATTTGACTAAGAAGCAGGACCTCATGGTCTACTTCTGAAGAAAAAAAAAAAAGACCGGTGGAAACCTTATGAAAAACTGTGAAAGTGGGTCAGATAGAGCACTGGAAGACAGGCTCCTCCGCTGGCTGGAATGCACTCAACACTGGGTGGGAGAAGAGCTGCCTCCTCAAAGCTAACCTTAACCTCGTGACTGGAGTAAAGCCTGCAGAACCTTCATGCACTGGTGAGGCACAAATCAACGCGAGAAGAATCAGTTACAAACATCCATTAATAACAGAATGGAGACCGTATGAAATATGAATCCAGAAAGTTGGAGGTGATAAAAATAAACTGGATAGCAGAAAAGTCAATATCCTTGGCATTAGTGAACGGGAAAGGCCTGGGACTGGCCACTGAGTCAGACAGTCTTGCGGTCTATTATGCTATGAATGACAGACTGAAGAGGAGTAATGTGTCATCACACAAATCATCAAAAAGAACATTTCAAGATCTACCCAGAAGTACAAGATTGTGACTGATAGGATAACACCCACATGCCTACAAGGAAAACTAGTTAATGTGACCAATTTTTCAAATTTACTCACCAATTGTGAAAGCAATGATGAAGAAACTGAAGAATCATACCAACTTCTTCAGTCAGAAGTTGATGAAACCTGCAATCAAGATGCATTGATGCATTGGTGCATTGGTGGTTGGAATGCAAACTTGTTAACAAAGAAGGATCTGTAGTTGAAACATATGACACCAGAGAGGGCATGAAAGAATTTTGTAAAACCAATAAACATATTCATTACATATGCCTTTTTTCTTTTCTTTCTTTCATTTTATAAATAAATCATTTTATTGGGGGCTCTTACAGCTCATATCAATCCATATATCAATTATATCAAACACATCTGTACATATGTTGCCATCATTATTTTCAAAACATTGCCTTTTTACTTTAGCCCTTAGTATCAGCTCTTCTTTTTTCCCTCCCTCCCCCACCTTCCCACCCTTGTGAACGCTTGATAACTTATTATTTTCATATCTTACGCCATCCGCTGTCTCCCTTCACCCACGTTTCTGTTGTTCGTCCCCCTGAGAGGAGGGGTTATATGTCAATCATTGCAATCAGTTCCCCATTTCTCCACCTTCTCCCCCCACCATTCCTCTACCCTCATGGTTTCGCTACTCCCATTACTGTTCCTGAGGGGTTTATCTGCCTTGGATTCCGTGTGTAGAGAGCTCTTATCTGTACCAGTGTACATGCTCCGGTCTAGTCAGATTTGTAAAGTAGAACTGGGGTCATGATAGTGGGGGGAGGAAGCATCAAAGAACTAGAGGTATGTTGTGTATTTCATTGGTGCTATGTTGCACCCTGGCTGACTCATTTCCTTCTTGTGACCCATCTGTGAGGGAATGTCCAATTATCTACAAATAGGCTTTAGGTCCCACTCTGACCCCCATCGTTTGCATCAATATAATTGTTTGTTTTGGGTCTTCTGATACCTGATCCTGATGGCACCTCATGATCACACAGACTGGTGTGCTTCCTCAAAGTGGGCTTTGTTGCCTTCCTGCTAGATGGCTGCTTGCCTATCTTTAAGACCCCAGACACTATACCTTTTCTTTACCGGCACCATCATCTTTTTTCACCACATTCGCTTCTGCACCATCACCTTTTGTCACCACATTCGCTTCTGCACCACATTTGACTCCAGCGATCATGTTGGGAAGATGAGCACTACAGAACAAAGGGTTCTTACATTGAGGGAGTACTTGAGTAGAGACCCAATGTCCATCTACTACCTTAATACTTAACATTTAGATATATGTACATAGACCTATATCCCTATCATTATATATTAATATACTGACATATGTACATGCCTATATTTATACCTCTATACTTTTTGCCTCCCAGTTCTTTCCTCATTTTCTTTTAACTTTGCTCCTGTCCCACTCTCATGTTCGACCTTCATTCAGCTCTCAGTAATTTCTCTTGGCTACCTTGCACTTGATCAACCCCCACCAGGCATTCTACTCCCTCCTTGCCATTGATTTTAGATCTCTTTTTGTTCCCTTGTCCATGGGTTTATTGGATGTTTCCTCCCTTTCCCCCACTTCCTCCTCTCCTGTGTCCCCCTGGAGTCATTGGCCCCATTGTTTTCTCCTTGGGATTGTTTATCCTGCCTATCTTATATGGATAGACATGAGACACCCCTGCCCCACAAAAAAGGCCTATAAATAATTCCAGGTCTGTCTGCTGACCCTTATGAATATTTTTCAATAAGGTCTGGTGAGGTGCCAAACTCTGCCCACCAATTCCAAAGTCTATTTTCGGGATTCCTTGGGGACTTTGTTGCTTTGCTCCCTTTGCTGTTCTGTTGGGCTCCCTTTGCGTTTTCCCCCAGTGTGTGTGTGTCAGACCGGGCACAATTCCCGAACTGTGTCTCCAGTACTATCCCAAATAGTGCTGTGGGTCTGTGAGGGGGCATCGTGTCTCATGGTGGGGCCAGCCTTCTCTGTGCATTGGCTACTCCGAGCAGGAATGTCATCCTACAGGCCAGGATGTGGTTCACTCTCTCTCATTCCCTCTTAGTTTGCTCCTGTGTGGTCTAGGCAGACCTGTCACCCTCCCTGGGATGTATCTTCAGTGCTATCCTCTGTAGTGCATTCTTCTGAGGAAGGGGTCGATGTAGCTGGGATTGGGGCCAGCCCCGTGTCTGTTAGTTCGCTGCTTCTTGCTGCTATGTTGCCCACAAGGTTTGGTGCACCAGCTTGAGATCTGGTCCTTCTGAACAATCCCTTCCCTATGTGTTAGTGCCCTGTTCCCTCATTATCCACGTCCTCTTTTTTTTTGTCCTTTCCCCCTCCTTTTTAGTTGGCTGCCATATCATTCCTGGGTTGGGTCTGACCCCTAACAGAGTGCCTAGACCTCAACAAATACCTTTTTTTCAGCAACATAAATAGCAAATATATATGTGGCGCTCACCAAATGGAATCCATTCTACTACTGTGGAAGCAGACCAGGGAAAAGTCAAGATCATTCATCAAAACAAGACTTCAGGCTGTCTGTATAACAGATCATCAATCACTCATATACAAGTTCAAGTTGAAACTGAAGAAAGTTTTAAAAAGTCCACAAGAACCACGATATGACCTTGAGTATTATCTCAAAATATATTTGATGCATTGAACACTAATAATCAAAGACTAGATGATTTGTGGGATACATCAAGAACATCATACATGAAGAAATCAAGAGATGAATAAATAGATAAGAAAGAAAAGATCAAAGTGGATGCCAGAAGATATCCTGAAACTTGCTCATGAACATATTGCTAAAGGGAATGGAAAAATAATGAAGTATAACAACTGACCAAATGATTTCGATGGGTGACTTAAGAAGAAAAAGTATTATAATGAAATGTGCAAAAAGAGAAAAGAAACGTGCAGACATGGTGTTAGGAAACCAAAAGAAAGAACACACGTGACATTTCTCAAGACGAAAGAACTGAAGGGAAAATCCAAGACTCGAACTGAAATACTGAAGCATTCCATAGGCAAAATGTTGAGTGACTGAGGACGTATCAGAAGAAGATGGAAGAACTGGTAAGTATCTAACCATTTCATGAAGTTGCAAGAGGTAAACAACCATTGGTTCTGAAGGAAGAAGTTCAAACTGCATTGAAGGCACTGGAGAAAAAACAGGACTGCAGATATTGATGGCGTACCAATGGAAGGTTTCACAAATTGATACAGTGCTGGAGATGCTCACTGGCCTATGCCCCCAAACTTATAAGACAACTGACTGGAAGAGATCCCTATTCATACCCACTCCAAAGAATGAAGAAATTATCAAACTATATCTTAATATCATACACTGGTAAAATTTTGATAAACATCATTCAACAATGGTTGCAGATCCTTAAGGAACTGCCAGAAATTTAAACTGGATTCAGAAAAATATGTGGCATGATTGTTCACATCAGATGAGTCACGGCTGAAAGCAGAGGATAGCAGTAAGCTGTTTACCCGTGTTTTATTGATGCTGCAAAGGCATTGAATTGTCCAGAGCAAATTAAAGATAACATTTTCAAGAATGGGAATTTGAGAAGACTTACTTGTATTCATGTGGAACCTATACAAGGCAATTATTGAAACAGAACAAGGACACACAAATGCTTTAAATCATGAAAAGTATTTGCAAGAGTTTTACCTTTTCACCATACCTACTTAACCTATACGATGGGCAAGTAATCCTCCAAACTGTAGTATATTAAGAAAAACATAGCATCATAACTAGAGGAAGACTTATTAATAGTGTGCAATATGCAGATGACACAACCCTCTTGCTGGAAGGGAAGAGGACGTGAAGCACTTACTAATGAAGGTCAAAGACAGGCTT